ACATCAAAAAGCCGTAGAATGTGAGCTGCGTTTGTGAGGACAATTCATTGTTTTCCTTAAGACCTTCGGCTGCCAAGTGTTTCTTGAACGATCCTCTCAAAAATTTTCCCAATCAAACCCATGGCTCCAAACACAAATCCGTGTGCAACATTTTAAAATTACCATTTCCTTGCATTTTGATAGTTTTTTGAAGATCATCAAAGTTACAATCTGCAGGAACTACTATGTCAATAAGAAAGTTTATTTCTATTTTTGCATTCTTTGATTCCTATATCTGGGTGGTTAGCTTTCATTGTTCTGGCTGTGTTTTGTTGTTGTTATTATTATTATTATTAGGCTAGTTAGCTAAATTGAAACACGATGTGAAAAATAAATGTTTGAAATTGGAATTTTCGAACATGTCCGCGTCCTTTCTCAAAGAAAAATAAACTATGGTTGCATTTTTTCTTAAAAATAAAATAAACAATAAAATAGTTGTATTGTGCGTGGGTGGTTAAAAGTTCTTGACTCGAGCCATTTCTTAAAATTTGCAGAATTCCTCATGGAATCCTTTCTTATTCAAGTTGATCATTTTTCGGTAACCTTTTGTATGTAAAACTTATCAACCCCCCCCCCACACACAAACACACACACACACACACATTTTACGTATCCCTAAAGGAAGAAAGAAAGAGAAAACTGAACCATATTTCCATATAAATATTTTATATACAGAAGGCAAATTTATTTTCCATGCAAATGACTGTTTCCGCTCGATTGCACAGATATATGAATCGAAGCTGTTTGCTTTTATTCTCATTCGTATGGCTTTTATGTTTCGCATTGCACGGTATAAACTCTTCGTAATATTTGAAATATATATTGTCCGCGAGAACACATAATACGCCTACTAAAAATGCAGGTTACAAATAAAAATCCCCTTTTCCTCTGGCTCACTTTTGAAACAGCATTCATTTCTTCTTTTCGTTACAATGAAAATTAAAAAAAAAAGATGAAAAAGAAAAGAAGAAACAGTATTTTATTATTGTCACCTCATCTCAAATGTGTTATTTAGCATCGTTTTTTTTTATTCATTTATATTTTTTACATTATTCAAACTGTTGTCCTAATCTTCGTTACTATATCCACGACGTTTCGGCCGTTGTACGCTTCTGCCTTCATCAGGATCTATTTATATTTTTGAGATGAGGTATTGTAACTATTTATACTATTTACATTGTTCAGACTGTTGTCCTCATCTTCGTTACTATACCCACGACGTTTCGGCCGTTGTACGCTTCTGCCTTCTTCAGGATCTGTCTATATTTCTGAGATGAGGTATTGTACCTATTTACACTATTTACATTGTTCGGACTTTTGTCCTCATCTTCGTTGCCATAATCACGACGTTTCGGCCGTTCTACGCCCCGTCCTTTTTTAGGTGACTGGAATTTAGAACTAAACCCTTTATTTCGTCCACTTGGCTATATTGTTCTAGTTCTACGTGCCATGCCTCTTCCGAATGTCTCAGTATCAGTTATACCCACATCAGCTGTAGCTAAGTATTGAACTCACAACACCAAAACTTTTATCCGCTGGGTCATATGTCTTTGAGGGCATCAGTGTATGAATTTTGAGGACTTATAAACCTAATGCCTCAGTTTTCATTTTTTTTACCATAGCTCATATTGCAATTTTTATTTTATTATTATTATTGCTTTTCTCTAGCACTCCGTTTTCATATTGTATTCATTTCTCTGCTTGGTCGAATTAGGAGATTTTTGTGGCCTAACATTGTAAATACTGTAAATAACTACAATATCTCATTTCAGAAATATTGAGAGATATGTTTTGTTTTTGTCCGTTTTTTTTTTTATTTTTATTTCCTGGATCGACACTCAGAAAATGAAGGTGTAAATCCGTTGTTAACTGGGACAAGAAATGGCCTGTTAATTCTAACACATTCAAAACAATACTGTTCTCTTTTAATAGTCTCAGAGAAGCTATTTTTTCTATCCTCATGGCTGATGCTAACCTTAAAGAGAATGACTCAGTGCGCCCTCTCGGGATAGAATTTTCAGCTGACAAGAAATGGAAAGATTATATTGAATTAATTGATAAGTCTAGAAAAGTTGGTTCACTGCGTCGTACTAGAAATTTGTTTTCTTGCCGAAATCTGTCTTGCATACTTATAAGTCTATCATTTGTCCATACATTGAATATTGGTATCATATTTGGTTTGGTGCATCTATTAGAGATTCTAGGTAAAATCCAAAGAAGAATCTGCAATGTTATCGGTTCTGATCAGGCATCTTGGTTTCAGTCACTTTCCCACCGCCTTGTCTTTTCTATAAATATTTTCATGCTGATTCTTCCTTGGTACCTTAACTTTACGAATTTAAGCGCAGTGCTTGACTGGCGGCAAGGTCTCATCATTTTACACTTGAAATTGCTAAATGTAGTTGCATGCTAAAGTTTTTCTTTTCTCTCGCACTTCTCGCTTATGAAATTCCCTTCTGGCTTCTTGCTTTCCAGTTAACTTAAATTTTCAAAACTTTAAATGCAATGCCAATCCCTATCGTCTATCTTCTTAATTCTTTTTATTGTTTTCTCTCCTTCATAATGCTTTTCTTTTTCTCGTATTTTTCACACTCAGTAACATCTTGCATCTTAGTGGCTTTGTTTCCTTGCTTAGGTTGAAATGATTAAAAAAATATAAAAAGATCAAAGTGTAGTTTCTGTTAGTTTACAGAAATGTTTTGAGGGAAGCCTGTTCCCGGGGATTCCAACCTTGTGGCAGCACCTTCCTCGTTGCATTAAAAGAATTATGGTCGGTGAAATACCACATCTAGCGTGACAGTAGTCCCGGTGACTGGACAATATTTATTCTTGGAACACATCTACGCATATGGGAACCTCTTATTAAACCGATCTTATGCCACATCCCGTCACCGTAAGAAGGTGGGTAAATACGAGATCAAAGTGTAGAATATATTCTGTTTTTCCCTTAAAGTTCGTAAGGGATTGCACTAAAAAGAAAGGATTGATGGATACTGACGCCGACATGACAGTGTTTACTGACACTAGGCAATTGGACTCCTTGGCCTACATATAAGCGCATGTGAAACCCACATTAAAACGATTTTGTGTCACATCCTATCCTCATGGGAATGTGGGTAAATAGCGATAGTGGTCACAGGTGCGGGGTAATATTTCTTGTTGGCCTACATGCATGCGTATGAGATGTTTGGCCCCAAGGGTTCCAACCATGCAGCTGCACTTTCCTTATTTCACTAAGTCATTGTTTCTCAGCCGGGGTCCACATGTAACATTCCACACACAAAAAAGTAGCAAATTGGGGGTCATCCAGTTGAGAATTGAAAATTCAACAGTAATCTACGCCATATTAAACTACTAAAAATAGAAAAACAACTCTAAACCTAACAGAAAACGAGATCAAGTGATATAAATTAGCGCCCCTTTTAGACTCTATCGGATGTATTGATTGTAAAATTTGAATAAAAACTGAGAAGGGAAGGATTATATAAATATTATAATTTATTATATCAATTAATTTAATATATTAATAATAAATAATAACATTAATTTTAAATATTAATAAAATAAAATATTAATATAAATTAATTAATATAGTAATCGACACAACATTGTGAAAACAGGCGATCTTCGACTATCATTGACATCGATGGTGCCGAATATCTAAAAATTTGCAGAGCTGGGATCTCATTTTAATAAATCTGCACTCTTTAAAAATTATTAATTACTCACAAATTTTAAAATGTTTTATATAATGAGTTATTTAAGTCGTGTATATAAATGTTCCATAAAACTTAGATGTTAACGACAAGTTTATTTTCATTAAATTAATCTTATTTAAAAAAATAAAGCATATACATTTACTATTACTATAATACAATTCCTAAACACATCTATTAGTAAAAAAAAAGAAGCTTTTTTCCCCATCGAATGGCCATGAGGATCTATTAAAAAAATGAGGAGTAAAATTTTTCCATGGGTAAACCCATCCCCCAAAATTGAGTTGAGAACCACTTCGCTAAGGTTTGTGGTTGTCGATGTCAGCGTGAGCAGGGTCCAAGAGGCTGGGCAATATTTGTCCTGAGCCTGTATGTATGGCACCTCACATTATACCAAACTCGTGTCGCATCCTGCCATTGTAGAGGGGCTGGTAAGTACTATAAGAGTGTAGTCCTGGGTATGACGATAAACTACATCCGGCAGCAAAGATATCTGATCGGGAGATTGGAGGTTCTGAGGAGCGTGAAACCATCTCTTAATTGTTTCTGGTCTTAGTTTAACCCTTACCCCTGGTGGTAGCACCTGTTAGGGTCCCAGCTATGGGCAAATAGTGGACCTCCAAACAAAAATAAAACACTATGAAAGTATAAAAATACATTTTTATAGTAAAATACCAGCAATATATTATTATATAAAAAAATGATCAACAATAACTATTTAAAGTAAAATTTGCAACAATACAATTTTAAAGCAAAATAACCAGCAATACATTTCATAGTAGATTATCACCAATACGTTTTATGACAAAACGACCAAAAATACATTTTATCTGTAGCTGAAGGCATACAATTGCTTTTAAAATATTTAGATATCCGCATTAAAATAACATATGGAGGTTAATATACCGCTAAATAAAATCAACCACTCAACCAACCATCAGAGTATAATCTCTGATCTCCCCCTTTTTTCGGTCAGTTTACGGAAAAGCAATGAGGGAATCCTGGCCACGAGTATTACATTCGCGCGCGACCACCTACTCCTATGCATCAAAGCGGTAGAGACAGAATACTCTAACGCCTGCTTGACTGTGGTCACGTGGACTGGGTAATTCGGGGCTTTGGTTCTTATGTATGCATATGAACACACTGTTTATTACTATCACGTGTCATATTCTTCCACCGTGAAGAGGTTGGTAAATTATTGCTTAATTTACGCACCAATCACCTACGTAAGACATTTTGTTAATGAACTTGTTGGATAAATGCAACAGACAACAGAATATCTATCTATCTATCTATCTATCTATCTATCTATCTAAGTTTTATTCTTATCTATCTATCTATCTATCTATCTCAGTTTTATTCTTATCTATCTATCTATCTATCTATCTATCTATCTATGTAAAATCCCAGGTATAAATAAAAGTATATCTGTAAAAAGAGAAGATGAATAATCACAGAAGTCAAATGTAAGGATTTTATTCATCAATAGAAAAAAATCTTTCTGTTTGTAAATATATTTTTTACTTCTGGTTAAAAGTACATTTTGCGAAATAAAATTCTTAAATTTGCCTTGAAACGATACTATATATATATATATATATATATATATATATGCATCGCACCACTACATTTTAAATGAAAAGAAATTAACAACAATTAGCAAGAAACCCATTGAAAATCGCTAAAGAAGTGACCGAAAGCATTTGGGATAATAGAGACAAGGGACAATTTTTACCCTTCCCACCTCCCCTTACTTCCACCAAACGGAAAAAAATTTAGAATACTAGAAAAACTCAATATAATTTAATTACATTTTTTCTTGTCTGTCATTCTAAACGAACCATATATATATATATATATATATATATATATATATATATATATATATATATATATATATATATTATGAAATGGACAAAGTCCGACAATTATTTCTTAAGACATTTAAAATGTCTTAAAAAAATAATTTTGATACGCTTTGAGTAGAATGTGTGAGAGAAAAATCATAGACAATTCTGTTTAAAAACAGTAAAATCGACCTTTCTAACCAAACGCTCCTCTGTGGCCCAATCGGTTGAGGCACGTCAGGCTATATGACGGTTCCTTATAGAATACAGGTGCGATTCCTGTCGCAGGACGAATATTTTCTATGAAAATTTCTCGGACATTCAGGCCGGTAAATGTTGTTAATACTGTTTATCATAAACAGAGCATTTACTTAAAATATTTGTATCTATAAAAAGAACGTATAAACATATATCTTTATATATATATATATATATATATATATATATATATATATATATATATATATATATATATATGTGCCTGAATGCCTGAGAAATTTCATAGGAAATATGTATCCTCCGACATGAATCGAACCTCTATCCTAGACGGAACCATCGATAAGCCTGACGTGCCATTTAGCTACATTGTATAGCACGTCAAATGAGCAATGGGGGAGAGGGAAAATTTCATTTAGGCCTTCAGTAATGGTACCAACATACATACTCTGGGTTCCATCTTCAAAGTCCATTCAAGAACCATCAAGAGAACGGGCAATAAGATTTAAAAAGAGGGATCAGTACAGAGAAAAACGGGATCAGGATGTCACAACAGGAAGAGAGATCATCATTTTAACTTAGAGCTAAAGAGATCAATTAGAAAAGATCCAACTCATTCCATAACGCGTTTGACACGTGAGAGAGAAGTTTGACCTAAGACAATCTAAAGAGCAGTGAAAAAAGACTTGAAAATGAAATCGTACGTGAAACGTGTGAATCACCTTGTTACTCCAGGACAGAATATTAGAAGGTTAGAAAGGACGAAGATCATCTTGAATAAGTTGGAAAATGATCCTTCTGTTAAGCTTGGAGAGTAATTATCACTGGACAACACCAAATTTGCTGTCTAGATTATTTTAGCTGATTTAGGGCAATTTTGATCTGCTGAATACAAAAATCCCATTGGTTTTGTTCAGTCAGGTCAACTATTTGAACTATGGCCACATGCTGTTTTTACGTTTTTCTTTACATTGTTATGTTCATTAAAATGTCTAAATAGGCAACTAGTTCACACAATAAAAGTAATTATTATGTTAATTACAAACTTATTAATTTTAACCCATCAGAAGTATTTCAGCTAAAAATAGCTACATAAATATTAAAACACATCTCCAAAGTATTTATCAACCAATAACACGCAATAAAGTGCTTACATCTCAAAACACACCAATTAGACTGTACAATACAAAACCATAGAATACAAAGTAGTAGTATTAGTTGTGGTGGTGGTGGTGTTGGTGTTGTTGTAGAAGAAGAAGTCGTTTTTTGACGATGGTGCTCCACATCATTTTCCTCAAAAGGAACTAAATGATCTCGTTTGCGATCTCAACTTGTTAAAGTCCTCTTCTGAACTGTTGGTATCCACACTGAAGGAAAAAAACCTCTTCTCTGACAGTGCTTGCATCACCTTCTACCGCAACAGGCATTAACAGTACCTCCATTTTTTTCTTTAAAGGGAAGGCCTGTTCGGGAGGAATTTATGCTTTGCAGAGCAACAAACGTCATCAATAAACATTTGGTGGTCAGAGGGAGGATACATTTCCCACTGCTGCATATCAGGCTCGGCTTGATCAAGCAGTTCACCAACACTCTGGACAAGGATAGTGGCTGCTTCATTTACTTTTGCCTAGCTTTTCCAGGATTGATGATAGAGAAGTTGAAATCTGGCATCTTTGATGGTCCTTAATCAGAGATCAGCTCATCAGAGACCCAGAGTTTGAAAACTCAATGTACGAAGTGAAACTGGAAGCATGGAAAGCTTTTGTCGTGAAGAACTTGGCAACAAAAAGGCCAGGAACTACGCAGAACTTGGCATCAACATGCTGACTGCTTTCAGAAAGTTCGGATGCAACATGAGCATCAAAATGCATGAATCGGTTTCCTGAGAGTCTGTGATCAGTGAGCGACGAGCAGGGGGAGAGGTCCCAACAAGACATGAAAATGATGGAGACTTGGTATCAGGGACGTTGGGAGGCAGTCATGATATCTGATTATTGCTGGACTTTGAAGAGAGACACCGCTGCCGCTGATCATTCTAAAAGTTCGGATATTTGGAATTTCAAGCCGTGAATTTTAAACAATGATGACGTAACATGCAATTTATGTTTACTTACATTTATCAATGTATACTATTCCATCAATTGTAATCGATGATTGTAACATTTAATTAATAAATTGTGTTAGAAAATAATTTTTTTTCTTAAAAACTTATTTCATATGAGAAATATTAACAATATTCAATTGTTAATGTAACAAATATAATCGATTTAACAGATCGGATATCTGTCTATATCTCTGAGATGATGTATTATGATTACTTGCATTATTTACATTATTCGGACAATTATCCTCATCTTCAAGGACACATGGCACAGTGGATAAAGACATTATTGTCCTGTCTATATCTCTGAGATGAGGTATTATAATTACTTACATTATTCGGACAGTTATCCTCATCTTCATTGCAATATTCTCAAGGACACATGGCCCAGTAGATAAAGAGATTGGTTAGATCCAGTGACTAGCTTCTAGTGATATAATGGCTGTCTATATCTCTGAGATGAGGTATTATTATTTACATTATTTACATTAATCGGACTGTTATCCTCATCTTCATTGCCATATTTACAACGTATCGGCCGTCTTGGTGGTGGAAATTTTCGAATCGAACCTTTTATTACGTACGCCGGAGTAGATTGCTCTAGTTCCATGTACCATGCCTCTTCTGGGTGTCTCAGTTATTTCCGTTTAACTGAAGTCTTCAAGTTTTTTTGTTCACCACTGCTGTGGCCTGGTACTGAACTCACAACTCTTTGGGTCTAGTTACTGGATCTAACCAACGTCTTTATCCACTGTGCCATGTCTCCTTGAGGACATCTGTGTGTGAATCTCCTAAGCCGACCAAGTGAATTTTGGGGACTTTTAAACCTAATGTCTCAGCAAACATTTTTTTAACTAGAGCTTATATAGCAATTTTTGTTGTTATTCATTGTTTTTCTCTAACACCCTTTATTACTGGTTCCCATATTGTATTCATTTCTATCCTTGGTCGGCTTAGGAGATTTTTGTGACTTAACATATGTGCTGATTCCTTAAGTATTCGTATTTTCCTATGATGTTTTCTGTCTATTATCTCAACCTCATTCCACAGGGGGCGGTAATCTCCCTTTTTCTTCCATATGTGGTCAGCTACACCTGATTTTTCTATTTCGTTTCGCATTACCGCTTTACGATGTTCTTGTAATCTTACCTTAAGGGGGCGGCCGTTTCTCCTTTATATTTCTTACCACATCTGCAGGGGATGGTGTACACACAGTTCTTCACCATGTTCACTTCTAGGGGCAGGTCTTACTCGGAACAGTTGTCTGCAAAAATGTTGAACCACTTTTGAAGGTTGTCCTGATCTTATATGAATCACAGATCTTTTGTATTTTTTCCGATAACCTTTTCATATAGGGTAGACAGATTGGAGTTGTTTTCTGAGTGCTGTTATCCACTTGCATCCTTCTATCCCACTTTGTCGGAGTTGCTGCCATGTACCCAGGGTAGTTGTTACATTGTAGGGTACTGCTTATACTGACCATTTCTTGTTTGTATGTTTCTGGGTTGCTACTTTTTGCTCGATGTTGTAAGCAGCGGACGACTCCTTTCTTTACACTGTATCGATGGTCTGAGTTGAAGATTGTCCAATGAATGTTGGCTTGCGATATACGGATGTCTTGAACCCATACTTTGTTCGAGATATTAGGAAGGCGAGTTTTTGTTGTTGCTCCATTGTGAACTCTATCGATGATCTTATTGAGTTCACATGGTACAGTAGTAGCTGGACGTCTTCCTGGTGTAGCGAGAGTATGAAGGTGTTATCTACGTATCTCAGCCATAGGGTTGGATTAAATGCTGTAGATTTGCCATTGCTGGTGATAATGGCGAGCCCATTGTTAAGCCCTCATCCTGTCGATATATGTCTGATCCCATTCCGAAGTATGTTGTTTGCATACATAGTCAGCATCTCCATCAGGCTATCTATTGGTATACTGGTCCGTTCTCCTAGGGAGGAGTCTGAGACCAGTTTGTCCCCAAAATACCGAGAGTGCCTCCGACACCTCCAACGGCTGAAACGTTGGGAATATGGCAATGACAACGAGGATAACAGTCCGAGTAATGTAAATAATGCAAAAAGATCGGATGTTTAAAAACTCAACTTAACGCAAAAACATGACCTGATCGAGAGAAACAAATGTCATTTTCGGATTCAGATGAAAAATTGTCCTAAATCATTTGAAAAAACAGAGGCAAATTAAAAATATTTTTTTGTTGTTCAGTGTTATACATCCTTATGGCTCAAAGTAGAGTCCAAGAATGTTATAAAAACCTCTGAAGAATTCCAATAAGATATCTTTAATTATTTCCAAGATACAAAATTAATCTAACAAATGGACAATTTTGCTTTTACACGATTTGGACAATTTTGCTGTTACACCCGGTATATATATATATATATATATATATATATATATATATATATATATATATATATATATAGTCATCCACAGACAGACTATTTCGGTGTATCACAGCTCATCACTGTGGCTAGACGTCCTGTTGCCTCTAGGTAGGATCGAAACCTGAATGAACTGGCGTCAGTCAGAGATTCTACTATTAAGCCGTTGGCGCACGGTAGGGATGAAGATAAATATATATATATATATATATATATATATGTGTGTGTGTGTTGTCTCTAAATTTCTATAAGCTTTCAATTGTTTTTTTATTATTTCACCTTTAATAAAATTAACGATCAAATAGAAAGAGGGTAGGAATGAAGATTGTGCTACGCCTAGTGGAAAGAGCCAATCAACCATGAAAGCAGCATTCTAAATTGTGAGTTTTAATTGCGTACGATCGCCGAAAACTAACATTGTGGGGTGAAATAAGCCTATTTAAGCCACGTGGCAAGCAATTAGCTGTTTTGCCCGTAAATTATGGCTTTTAAGATTTTCAACACTCAACAAAGTGTGGCACAAGTCCCAAAATGAGGAATAACAGAGCAAGAAGAATTAATTTTCACTAATCAACCAAGTGTAGAATCACTGAGCGCTTCTCTACAAAACTAGGATTTGACATCCTGCTTTTAGCTAAACTCGAACCCTAACCATTGTTGAGAAATCTCCAAAACATTTCAGCTACAAAACAATCCACCGATTACAAACATGTCTTGATAGTTACAAAGTTTAAATTCGTGTGAGAATCGGCTAAATTAGCTAATCATTTTGTAATCATAACTTACTTTGGCACAAGGCCATAAGAATGGGGCACCGAGTGAGGAACGAACTCACTACTCAGTATAGATAGTCAACCAGACATGCACTCTAGATACGCCCACGTTGCTAATTAGGCATAACAGTTCGACAGAGGGAGAGTGGTATTGGGGCACCCAGTGAGGAGCAAACTCAGTAGTCGATCAGACTAGCACGTTAACCTACTGATATGTGCCGGAGTTTATCACAAAGCAACAAGTATTGTGGCACCTAGTGAGAATCAATCTTACTACTCAGTATAGTCACCGCTGACGAGTCGCTTATATTCACTAAACTTACCATAGTTTCAGTATAAGGCCACAAGTATGGGGCACCCAGTATGGATAGCATTCACTATTCCGTAGCAATGTCTAACCAGACTAGCTCGTTAACCATTACACCACAAGGGGTTAACCTATTATTCACTAAGATTAAATTAAACAAGGCCATAAGTATGAGGCATCCACTGAGGAACGAACTCACTACTCAGTATTAATCATGGTCATCCAGACTAGCTCGTTAACCAGCACCCCACACTGATGAATTCTATATTTACTCTTTCACTGAGGAACGAACTCACTACTCAGTATTATTGATGGTCATTCAGATTAGTTCGTTAACCAGCACCCAGGCTTTATTTAGTTTTGGTGCAAGGCCACAAATATGGGGCATCCAGTGAGGATTGAACTTACTAATTAGTATTAATGGTCAACCAGACTAGCTCGTTAATCAGTACCCAACGCTGAGGTACCCATGTTATTTATTAAATATCGTTTATTTTTTGGAATAATTACTATTAATGATCCAGCTACAATTCCAGTTCACTGACCATTACACCACAATGAGATACATTTGCGAAGTTGAGAGGGAGGGGATGCTTTACTCATTCGACATCCTTGCTTTCATATCGGGGCTCGAGTACCTACCTTTACCCCGGGTGGGAAATATATAACAATTCTGACAATAAGGCAGTCCCCATTCTTTTCTTACTTTTACTTTGCTTTCTTTTTTGTTTGTTTAAAATCTGTTCTTTTGCTCTTTTGGCTTTGATCTCATACGCCTCTCTCTTTTTCTGTTTTACTTTCTTCAATTCTTTCTTCTTGTCTTTCTTTCGTTGTTATTTTTTAAACCCTTTTCTCCAAAGTCATTTCTTTCTTTCTTTCTTTCTTTCTTTCTTTCTTTCTTTCTTTCTACAATCTCTTTTGGCTTTGGCTTTCGTCTTTTATACTTTTTAAAGTCATTTCTACAAAGTCATTTCTTTCTTTCTTTCTTTCTTTCTTTCTTTTCTTTCTTTCTTTCTTTTTCTTTTCTACATTCTTTTTCTTTGTCTTTTTCGATATTTTTTCTTTCTTTGTCTTTTATATTCTTTTTCTTTCTTTCTTTGTCTTTTTCTACAATCTTCTTTCTTTTTCCTTTCTTTCGAAATTATTTCCATCATTTCTCATTTCCTATTTCTTTAATTCTTTCTCTCTCTCTCTCTTTCCTTTCTTTCTTTCTATTTTGAGTTTTGGGTGGATGGTATCTCTTTTCTTATTATACGCCACCCCCACCCCACCTCGAGCAAGCCATTCATCCAATACATCATAATTAATAACATCCACCACCTTTCACACCTTACCATACTAAAATGGCGTCAAGCCTCACTTAGCGGGAAAATTGTGCTTTGACGGAGTCAGTCGCTTTTAAACAGTTAACGACACGCAGGTGATAACTTTAATCTGTTGATTTTTATATGCACGTCTGTCTCTGCCGAACCGGCTGTCCGCGTTTCGGATGGAAAGTTTTCTGGTCTGATTGTTGTCTTTTTTTTTCTTTTGCGTTTTTTTTTTGTTAAGGGTGGGAATCAACAGTTTTGATTAATACTAAACATTTTCCGGGTACAAATTTAAGTATGAACTCAACGAATGAAAACATTGATCATTTAATTATGAAGTTTACATAAACATTTTTGTAAGGTAGAAGCATAAGGAAAAAAAAGAAAAGAAAGAAAACAGTGACATCTTTGCAAAATCTATATCGGCGAAATTAGTTTCGTCTGTTCTATAATGTAAAATATTATGTGAATTTATATGTTTACCAGTCACGCAGCCCAATCTCCCTTACTTACTAATGATATAGTCCGTTGTAATGGTACTAGGAGGTATTACTTGATGCCAATAAGCGAACATGTCAGGGATTACCATAATAACAGAATATCTTATTAATTAGAAGTGAAATAAGTATGCAGGTGATAAATTTAATATTGCTTTTTATTTCCTGTTACTTTTCCGTTGATGGTTTTATTATTAGTGACGGAGAAAGCGGAATTCTGTCTTTCGAAAAAGATAATTGTATTGATAAAATTCCTAAACGACTCACAGAGAAAATTAAATTTCAAAGATTATTAAATTTCAAAGACTACTTAAATGCAAGGGAGATAACTCTAGTTATAGCGCATTGGCAATACTAGGTGGCAATCTGTTTGATATGACAATGGTAAACTGCTTAAATATACTTACGAGGCAAGGAGGTGAAAAGAGACGTTTGAAAGATCAAAGTACAACTATAGTAATTGGAAAAATACATATAGAGACTTAAATGCAAAAATCTATCAGTATATACCGTTATTTTTATGGTATGGGCAAACTGGTATATACATATATACATACATACAGATATATATATATATATATATATATGAAGAAATATATTCTTAAGGTGTGCTATATTTATGGGATAAAGTGCTCAATATCAGAGATAAGGCGTGTGTAAATACAAAAGTGAACATTGAAGTAAAAACTTAGAGGCGACATATATATATGTGTGTGTGTGTGTGGGTGTATATATATATATATATATATATATATATATATTGATGCATATTTCATTAAATAATATAGACAAGTTTTGTCTATTTATTTTAAGTAAGTTCCTTTCATATTGTCTGATAAGCTTAATAACATTATAATTGAAGGACGAAAGGGAATCCCCATATTGATACATGTTTAAATCCAATCTAAGCTTTCGGCTTACATTAGCCATTATCAAAGTTGACAATTACTTTTCAATGTATCAGCCAATACACGGAACACTAATGATAGTCTGTTTTTGTTGCGTGAAAAATTTCAAAGCAACGACAAACTAGTGTATACGAGAGGCGGAAGCGAAAATCGCGTCGCAGCTCGTGACGTCACACATGAACACGCGAGAGTGAAAACGAGAAGTATTAAGCATGGAAAGCCGTTGGTATAAACCAATGGCTTCTGTTATCAATTATAAGCATTTAAGTATGTTTGTGGATATATATATATATATATATATATATATATATATATATATGAATAGGTTAAATTCGATATTTGTTCATTAAACAGTATACCGTCTTGAATATTCGAGAAATATTCAGGCCTTTAGATATAAATAAATAAAATTTTGAAATCTTGTTCTACCCCCCTCCCACACATTTTAACTCTCAAATAATCTAAAGAATTTCTGATTTCACAAGTAAATCATTTTCATCATAAATTACCCAACATCGCCTGATAATGGAACAGTTTTTATGTTCTGAAACATAGAAATTTTTGTGTAGCGATGTATAATATTTTATAATAATAAATATAATAATAGATATTGGCTTGGATTGAGGAATCGGAGAGCCGAGTCCGAATTCCAGTCGAATCCATTATATTCACGTGCTATTACTCTGGCGAAAGATATGAATCCTCTTCTCTCCTCTCCTGGTGAATAGAAGTGTGGCACCCTGCATTATTAGAAAACTGAAAAGAGATATTCATAAATATATGATTTATTAATTTATTCGGTTTCTTAACCAGTTGTTAGTTATTTAGAGATGAAGAATAATTGAGTTTTGAGAATAATTCTCTAATAACATTTAGGTGACCCGAAAGAAAGACAGAGAAAGAAAAAAAAGAAAGAGAAAGAGAAATAGATAGTACAAAACCCGGTCATAAGCAAAACACGCTTAAAACTAACACAAAACAGGTGTCAAAGGATATCTAGGTTAAAGTACCTGACCGAAATCCACGGAAAATGGAAATTGTTATAATTTGGTTGAAGGAATAGAGTTTAGAAATAATGATACGAGACGGGGTAGTGAGCGAATAGGCACACGCGCGATTGATGCATAACAGATGTCGGTCAAGCACCTGACCTACTTTCGTGTCCGCGGAGTATGGGAGTTTGTTATCAATTTGGTTGAAGAAATAAGATTTTAAGGACAATGGAAAAAAATATTAATAGGTAACGAACGAAAAAAGGTGTCATTGAGATGATAAGTAACCGCTGGGAAATGTATACGAAAACAAAACATTGGTACACGAACCCTGACCAGTTCTGGGGTTGAAGATAAGAACCTCCCAAAATGATGAGTGGAAAATATTTTCAATTTAGATAATTAAGATTTTGTTAACAGGCCCCGAGCGAAAGAAAGAGGTGAAATATTTGTTTTAGCTCGCGGAAGACGCCGACGAGTCGGAAAAAGTCTTTCCTGGAAATCACATCTAATTAGCGGCGGGCTGTTTTGACAAATGCCAAATGAAAGAAACCGGGGTCGTCATTTTCGTGCGAAAAGGACAATTTGGATTTTGTTTTTTAAGCAAGGTATTTCTTCCCCCCAGAACAAAGCCACGGATTGTCCACGCCCGATTGGAGACGTCACGAAGGAAGGAGGGAAGATACCGACCAGGGTCTCATTGGCCGAGAGCGGTCACGTGATGTGCGAGGGAGGAGGAAAGGCGCTCGACCAGGACCCCATTGGTCGAGAGCGGTCACCTGACATACGAGAGACCAGGGGAAGCGGGTATGCGCCTCCCCCCCAGAGGCACTGTAAGGAAGTAGGAGTGAAAGTAAGAGCGATAATGGGAAATCAGAAATAATGCGACTTTTGGAATTATCAAGAAAACCCTGGCGCCGACAGACCCACCCCAGTTTGTTACGGCGTCAATAAAAGCAGGACCCCAATCGACAGAAATCAGTTGCAGGGCGGACAGCGAGGGAGCTTGAACGCGGGCGGCGGGCCCGGTTCATTCGCTCCTTTGCGGGCAAGAGAATCCGGAGTGAAGAAAATTGCCCGAAAGCCTAAGAAGAGTTGCAGACCGGACAGGCAGAAGAGTTGCAGGCCGGACAGGCAGAAGAGTTGCAGGCCGGACAGGCAGAAGAGTTGCAGGGCGGACGGCGAGACAGTTACAGGCCGGACAGGCAGAGAAGTTGCAGTTGGAGTTGGGTTTGCGCCTCGGACGAAGAAGAAGTTAACTTGCAGTTGTGACTAAGAGAAGTTGGAATCACACCAAGCCTATGAAGAGAAATTCGTCCAAGACAAGTCGAAGTGAATAAATTCGTCCACCCGAAGCAGAAGAGAAGTTAATTCGCGCACTGACGGCGAGGGAAATCAGCCGTGAACGGCTGGTAGAGATCAGCGCCCAGTGTCGAAGCCAAACCACACCCCGAAATGCAAATTTCTAGAGAACAAGCAAATCGAAGTCTTAAAGTTGTATGGTAGAAGCTTGGTGCCACAGTCCACAAAACGGGTCGGGAGGTAGGAACAATTTTGTGTAACGAACATTTAGATATAAAAGGTTGTTACCTTTTTTTTCAAATAATTTTGACCTCGTGAGTTTTTCTTTCACTTGTGTGTTATCACCCCCGTTGAACCCAGCTGGCATACGGCCCCAATCCCTGTTTGATCCCGTCTGTCTAAGATATAATCACAACGTGGGTAGGCAGACCGGAGATCAGTGCAGTTACCCTAGTAACCAGGCGTTGCAGGTGAGTTGGGAACGACGAGGCTGGTATTCATCTAACCAAAGGGTTAGAACGTCACACTTGGAGCAGCGAGGAGCGAACAGCTGACGCCGCGGCAAAGACGTCACAACTGGTGCTGTCCGTGACCAGGATATCAGAGCCTGGAGAGCACGTGACGTCACAACTGGTGCCGCGAACGAGATCGAACGACACAGTCGACGCTGCGACCAGGGGGGGGGCGACGTCACAATTGGTGCCGTGACCAAAGGATCAACCCTGAGACAGCCACGTCACGTCGCATCGATCGACCGCCGTTGCTGAGAAAATTCAAATAGGACTCAAAACGACCCGGGACCGAAAGGAACGAGAACAGAATCGTCTGTAAGGTAGGACACTTTATTTTATTTCCCAACCTCGATTGTTGCTGCGTAGATTGTCTTTCTCTTTAAATATGTCGGACTATGATTCAGATTGAGCAGTGGGGGATGAAGAGGGAGTAAGACAAGGGTTGTCAGTTGATTTAAGAAAGCTGTTAGGTGGATCGAGGGTCCCAGCATTTGACGGCAGCGGGAAAGAATTTAAAAACTGGCTGGCAATCCTGGAGAAGAGCCGAGTTATCTACGAACTTTCGGACCACAAAACCCTGTATTTGGCATACGATGCCACAAAGGGGAAAGCGTCTGAATTCGTGAGGGAGCTCTTGGAGAGTCAACCCCACTTGTCTTGGGAAAGTTTAAAGGGACTATTGACCAAGGAATTCGCCGACGAGGGCACGGCGATAGAGGCCATGAGGGCCCTCCTAAAACTGACACAGCTGCGGGATGAAACCCCGGGAGAATTGGGGACCC